CAGATGTACTAAAATCCATAGTAGAGGAGTCAATCTGAATGTTTTACACTGTGTACATTTACCATACTGTTATGCGATCAGTATAAGAAAAACACTATTCTTACTAATATTGTTGATTTCTGCCACATTGCCCAGCCCTTATTGACATTACATGTGAGCTTGTTCTACAAGTTTCGCATCCTCTACTGTAGAAAATGAGTTTCCCACACGAGACATGTGCAGGTCTGAAGGGTTGATGAGTGGGATGTCAATATATCTCCTGGCACTAATTCAGCTTTTTTTTCTGTGCATGCCTCAGCTTCTACCTGGGGAGCATAAAGAAATCACGCTCACTAACCACACACACCAACACACCCACCCACACCCACACTGCTTTGTGAGGGTGTCCTGGTATTTAATGAGAGCATGTGAATAATTCAGCCTACAATAGGTCTGGAGGAGGAAAAGGGACTGAAGCCATCATTAACTATTCACAGTATAACAGTATTATGACACATTGCACACACACATTTGTATGTGCAAACATACTGTACGTATACACACGCACACACAAACACACACACACACACACGCACATGCACACGCACACACATATATATAAAGCGTGCCAAGAGTACCCAACCATCTGCTTGGACCTAAGGCTTTGGCTATGATGCTACGGGGAAGATGATTCGTGCTTTGTGGATTCTGACCTATGGGGCGCTGAAAGAAGCATATACTACAGTATATAGAACTTGATATTATAACTCTTAAAGATTAAAGTTGTCTTGCAAGTTGGTCTGGGCAATAAATCAATTTAGAGTTAATCATCCTCTTTATAATCCATATAACACTCACAATGAGCTACTATGGTTCACAGTTGTTGCTATGTTTAATGAAAAAGTTAAATTTGACCTAAATCTGTCACCGCATGAGATCGAAGAACAAACTTGTTTTTAAATTATAGCATTGTAATCTAGAAAAACACTATAAACCCTTTTGACTTAACAGGATAAACATGAGTTTAACTTTTTAACATGTTATTTTGAACACTGCAAATAGCATCACAGGAAGTAGTTGACTAGTCTGTAATTGCGATGTTCCCGGTTTGCTTTGGCTGGGGACGTTTGCTGCATATCATCATCCCCTCTCTCCTTCCCCTTGTTTTCTGTTTCTCTAGACTGCCACTTGTCCAAAAAAGGCCATATTAATAGTCACTAAAAGGACAAATAAATGCTATTGTTGAACATATTGATGCTGTGATAATTATAACAATATCCATTCTGAACATATTGCCCACTCCTATTTACAGGACACTCACATTTGGTAGAGCTGTTAACAAAGCATGTTGTATTAAGCCTGCAAGAAACAAAAGCTGTGAACTGATTTGAATTTGGGTAGAGATTTCAGCTTTACTGTTGCGTAAGAGGCCCTTATTCCTCTATTTGTTTGCCAGTGCAGACCTCCACCCTAAAAAACAAGAGCTCTGCGCCACGAGCTTGAGTATGAGGAAGTACCTATCGCATGTCTGCTTACAAAAACAACAGTTTACTGCGTATCCCATTCATAAATATTACAGAGAGAGAACGGATATGTTTTCACAGATCTCCTCCTTGGTTGGGAGGAGAGTCTCCTTCAAGGGTCCATCAGGTTTTGCCCTACACGCTGTCACCGATGGCTAGGGTCAGGAGGATGGATGGCTGATACAGACTGGGTCCATATCAGTGCTGTCATCCTCTGGGCCCTCGGTCTTAATACAACAACGAGCCAAGCCGGCTTCTGCCGCATCTGAACGCTGGCTGCTTAACTGGATGATTGGCCTAGAAAGGAAGCAACTGGCAATAATCCGGACTCTCTGTCTGCACATACTGATCATAGTAAGACCCTATCTCCACATAAAAACACACACATACACAAGAAAGTGCTCCTGAGTTTACAGATTTATAATCCGCCTGGGAGGAAATGCCAATCATTTCAAGTTGTATTTTAATGTCAAAACGGCACTTTGGCCTGGGCCACCTGCTTCTAATTCACAGATGAAAAACTAATCTGTGTGGAATTTTGCTTGAGTCAGCAATGTTGGACTTCTGTGGAACATGTTTGACAGCTGGTGGGGGATGTCAACCAGGTAGGGTAGTTACAGGGACGAACCAGACATGACCTTTTACCCCTGGCCCAGCTGAGAGACGGCAGGGTAAGAGAGGTGAACCACTCCCCTCAGTAGTACACACACTACACGTCATCTTCTCAAGTTTGACCAGTCACCAGCCCCTACCTTCTCTTCCTATGGAGGCAGCTCATTCCAACGTGCACACACAAAGGCTGGGTTTAGCTGAATGGCCTAAATGACAGCAGAGCTCCTGGCCACGGCGGCTCAGACCAGCTGAATGGTCCTCATTGTGTCCCCATGGTCACAGGGGGCTAGCAGAACTGGGTTGTTTTTTAAGAGGCCATTTGGCAGGCCTGTGTTCTTATCCGAGCAACGCAGGAACAGGCATTTCCACTTGGTTCAGAGGAGGACTTGTTATGGACTCAAGAAAAAATCTTCTATGAGGTGATGACATCCCACATGCATGAAGTTATAAAAGGGGCTTGCTGGCTTCCACAATGAGTAAACATGGACACCGGGATCATGTGATTTTTTCTTGCAAAAGAGATTGGACCTTTCAGCAACTAACTCTAAAGTCTTACACGTTTCTCACAAAGTAGAAATGCACCAAAAAGGAACGATATTTAGAACAGTTCCTGTTTGAAACTGCATCGGTGTATGCAACCAAATGTTGTGACCAAAAATAAATGTGTTCTTGAGGTTTCGAGTGTGTGAACAAGATGACTGCAAATACATTGTGATGTGAAGTAAAATCAAGCACTGGCTGGAAAGAGGACAAAGGGTGGGCAATATGGACAAAAACTTCATCATGGTATATGTAATTTTATATCCCAATAGAACTTTTTCACAGCAGCCATTTTGATACCAATGATACTAATTAGGGTTCAGTTCCTTTTAGTGTAGCAGAGCATTTCCAGTGAGCCAGCACACAAAACAGTAGCACCCCGACTCTGTTTGAGTGGAACTGAATCTTAATTAGTATCATTGATAACACTTGGGTTTACGCTACTATTGTCAAAATGCCTGCTGTGAAAAAGGTCTATATCTACACAGACTGTGATGTTGTGTTTATTCCCTGGAATTCCAGCAAATTATATATCTGACATATTAAAGTAAGATTATAAACATTTCCCACAATACACAGAGAGATGATCTATCTATCTATCTATCTACACCATGTATATAATGTCATATCACCCCTTTAAATTACCTATAAAAAAACTGTGGTAAATAGTCGGTGTGTAATATCAAACATAAACCCTTTGTAATTAACGGGCTAAAACATCCAAAACCACCAGTATAACTCTTTAACATAACAGGCACATTTAATAGTAGCTGATCTACACCTGAGTAACACATTAGCCTTAAAGGTCAGTCAGCAACGGTCCCTCTACAATATTCTTTTAATTAACAGTAATTAGCTTATAAATATGCATTTGTGTTTATTATTAGAGTATACCAGGTAATACAACTGTCAAATGCAAAAGAACCACGTTGTCGAGGTCTTTTATAGCACCATGTGCCTTTTTAAGGCCTTATTACAGGCATGACAATGGAAAGGTTAACCTGCATTTGTATTAAGAGTCAAACATGCGTATCAAAACTGGTGTTAGCCAGACATAAGTGGGAAAATATCAAATACTGATTGTGAAACCACATAACACCCCTGAAATAACCAAATGTTAATCAGCATGGATAAGTAGACAAAGAGTGGTCAATGCGCAGGACGACCGGATTCAATCACCACTGGAAGACTGTATAGGTGTCACAAAGCAGACATCCAGGGATGTGACAGTGTGTGTCAATGGGTGCAGTGCAGGACAGGGGCTAACAGCTGCTCTGCTGGGGGAGGGGTTGATTTGCATGATGCTTTGGATGAATGAATGGTTGAGATATTTGTAAACTACAATAAACAGACACATCCATCACCCACCTTCATCCACAAGAGCAGAACAAACACACATACACCTGACACAGGTCCCGTAGGGCAATGTAACCACGGTTAGCAGGTAGGTAAACCTATAATTACAGTAATAGCGGGCTGACACAGGTGGATAAGGCTACGTACAGATCCTTGTTGATCGCGCCAATGAACGTCACTGAGGTCAACACACTACATTTGAGAATCACTGACAGTCATTCATAACAGACTGTGTCTCCATATGACACCAGAGCAGATGATGACTGTAGGCCTTGTCATTACACCTCAAACACTACTCACAGTGACTCACAGATTCACTGCAATAAAACCAATTTTCAGCTGAACCCTGAAAAACTGATGCCAAGTACAATGCCTGTGTGATGTCAGACAGGAAGCCACAGATGAATCAAACTATATGAAGGAGTGTAACAAAGATGACAGGAGAGGGGTCAAACCCTGGTAGCCAGACCTTGCCTCTGGCCACCCTAGTCTGTCAGACAGCCCCCCCCAGACTAGCCCCCCACACACACACACACACACACAGCTATGGCTCTGACATTCAACCACACCGCAAATGACGATATTTGACACAGAAAAGACGTCTTTAAATCGACGTTTTAATTTGAAAACTGCGTGAGATACATTTTAAAAAAGGAGACACGATTAAAAAGAAAAAAAAAAGGGGGGGGATGAAATCCTTTCTCTTCCTCCTTGCTGCTTGTCATGCCCTGCTAGCTCGTGTGTGCACATCCTGTGTTAGCACAAAATAAGCTAACTAGGTGGCACACAGCTTGAGTGCCGGTGTCCATTCAATCTGTTATACTCGTAAAGTAAGAGCAGGAGGAGAGGAAACTACTGGGTTTAATCGATGCTGGTTAACCCAGACAGCTCAGACACATAGCTAGCTTATAAATCTGCTATAGCATCCCCCCCCCCCACGACCACCACCACCCTCCTCCTCTCCCATCAGCCCCCCCTCCCCTCCTTTACCTTCAGACAGCTCCAGATCCAACTCCGCCAATTGGTCTCTAACCTCTTTTGGCAGGGCGGACAAATCCACGCCGCGGTCTGCCATGGCTTCGCCGACAAAACACGAGTGCAGTCTAGTGGAAAAGAAACCAGGCTGTGGCGGGGGAAGGTAAAAAAAAATAAAAATAAAAACGCCCTCCCTCAAGACACAAAACAAGCATCAGAGTGGGAGAGACAGTCCATCCGTACGACTGGCCCCTCCGCCATAATGGGAAACACTCACCAACGGCAACGAGCTGGTCACGTGACTGCACTCACCTCGCCTGCACGTTGATTCAGTGCACACCGGAACTGCTGCGCCCTCTGGTGGCCGACCGGCAAACACACACATATCTATATATATAGATATATATAACCACAGTGTTATAAGGTTGTGTGTATATATATATAACCTTATAACACTGTGGTTCACAGCCTTTTCTTCTCCTCCTCTAGTATTTAGTAAAACTGACTGAGTGACAGATTTTATATGAGTGATTTGGATTAATTTTGAGCAGATTATTTCCTGTTTAGGGAACTTTTTATAAAATAAGATAAGATAAGATATATCTTTATTAATCCCCCGCTGTAGGAGAAATTCAAATTACACACAGCAGCATTGGGGATTACCGTGCAATAAAAAGAGTGCAGTGTACATACAATAGTATCACTAATGAGAATTTTACAAAATATAATAGAAAATATAAAAGTATAAATAAAAAATATACACACTATATAACAGTACAATGGTGTGCAAATATTTTAAGCAGCTTGACTAAAAGCTTGTGTGTGCGTGTGTGTGTGTGTCTGTCACTTAAGCAGGGGTCATGACAGAAAATGGGTCCCTTCAGGAAAAAGGTTGTGAATCATTGCTCTATTTGACAATTTACTTTATATTTTCTTCACAGAAGTGAACCAAGGATTGTGTGAGGATTTTTCACCTATACAGCTAAAGGCTGACTCTGTGGCAAGCAAGGGTGGAAACAAGAGGCAGGATATCCTACTTACAGGTGGCTTAGGAACCGGGCAAAGCAGGCAACTGCCCAGGGGACCTAAAAGTCCAAGGTTCACAGTGTGGTTATTGAATTAATTGCATGTGTGTAAATAAATTTAAGCTTTCACAAGTGATAATACAAATTGACACACATTCAAATTGAGGTAGGGTCTAATTCCAGCACTGGATTAAATCAGTGAGTTGCTTTCACATTCATTACAATATGAGTGTCAAATTTACAAAGATATAAATCAGAGGAACGCAGCATCCTCACTTTAGAGAAGCTGGAACCAGTAAATGTTCATGGCTTTTATTTATTTATCACATTTAGGAGGATCTTTTGGCAGAAATGGAATATAATATGTATGTATTGTATGTTTTCATATGTGTATAATCACCAGAATATAGATATAGATATATAAATACAAGAATCGTTGTGTTTTCGTTACTTTAGAATGAGACACTTTTATCTACAGATGCTGTGGGACACCTTCAGTGGAGGCTGCCATGTTTCTACAGTAGCCCAGAACAGACAAAACAAACAAAACTCTGGATCTAGATAGGGACTTTTGTGTTTTTAACATGTTTCACAAGCACTTTAGCTTTTCTTCCACACTTCACAGCCCATTTTCATTCCCAGGACTTCAAATACAGATGCGAGTGGTGTTCAGTTAGTTGCAATCTTCACCACTATCCCACTAAATCCTTCACATTGGTTCTTTAAAAATAGTTGTCCATTATTTTATATCGACTAATCAATTGATAACAGTCTACTAGAGCTGAAACAATTGGTTATGTACAGAGTAACTGAAGGGTACTTAAATGCAACATGCCACATATACAATACACAGAACAAGTTGGAAGAATGGGGGCTTTGTAGGGTCCCTGAGCTAAGTTAGCAGGTTAATCCTACTTTTTTCAATTGTACCTAAATCCATGAAAGAATACTGCTGCTGTAACCCGCTCTAGTACAAGTTCAAAACACTACACTGAATACATTACTCATGTTCACCTTCAAAGGGCCAATATGGCATCCTGACTGCAGCCATAATAAAAATAAATATATCCTTCCAACCACTCTCTCTGCAATTAAGGCCCACTTACAAAAAGTTACGATCATGTTTTTCTTTATGAGAAACAAGGAAAACGAGCTTCAAAGCAAACTTAACATAACAGCATAATTGTAGGCCACTGTGTCACTTTTTGTCGTTCCAAGAGTATTTGAGTGCAGTACAGAAGTTAAAAGCCATAGCAAGGATTTTATAAATACTGAGGTCATGAGTCCAGCCTCTCAGTACAAACCACACCTTCTCAGAAAATCTTGACCTGACACCAAACAGACGGTACTTTGACAACCAAGAGTTTAGTGAAGGTAAATTCAACTGTCTTTGTCAATCTCAGCAGAAAATTAATAAACAAAACGTCATAAATGTTCATTAAGATGTAGTTTCTTTAATTAAAACTGCAGCACTGTAAGTGTTCATAGTATTCCACTTGGACATGCATGGAAAAGTAAATATATTCATATAGTACAGATATGTACAGTACAAGGACAATTTTTGAAATCATCAGTCCAACAATGGGAGTGTGAAAAACCATTAATACACTATGTGCAACTTTCACATTGTTGCATTTTTCATTAAATTGCTCTTTTCACAACATTAATATGCCAAAGACCATAATGACGATTGTTAGTTGACCAATTAAAAAAATAAGTTAGACAAGGGCAGTCAAAAGACCTTACCAAATTCATCTGAAGAGATATAACAAAGGGGATATAATCTGTCTGAAAAAGGGACTAATGGCATTTTTCTGTAGAGAACAACAAAAAAAGAAATCTGTTAAAGAAATTAGTTTCTATATTCATCAGTACAATCAGAAGCGTTATGACAAAGGTTGTCTTGTGCTGAATATAGCACACAAAAAAATAAAACGAGAAATGACAGAAAAAGGTGCCAATGACATGAATTACATGAAAACATGAAAGCTAAATATAGTTTGAATTTTCATTTCATACGAACAATCGTCTATAAGGGACTGCCGGCCAAATATAGTGCCGGCTCCAACGTACAACAAAATGCCGGGGGGTCGCCATTGGGACTGTAGGACAGGAGGTTCAGTCAAAGGTGAAAGGTATTAAAGTTGCTGAAAATAAAATTTCCCATTTACGGATACAGTACAGAGAGGAGAAAATCTCATTAAAAAAGGGATCTGATATTTCTGAAAAGACCATGAGAACAAGAGAACTACAAAAACTTAAAATGAACAGAAATACAAAGCAACAATAAACTTGCATTATTTTAGTGCATAAAGACATGCCCTTGTGTTAATGGACAGATATCTTGTTTTTGAAATATCACATCTTGCAAATATATCATATCAGACAAAAGGGGGGGAATATACAGGAAAAACAAGAGAAGCAAACCGCTTGTTTAGGTGTTTCTGTAAAAATATATTTATATCTTGGTTAAAATATCTTGGGTGGGATTTCTAAAGAAACTGGAGCCATTCAGAAACAGTCACAAGATATCTTAACTTTTCCTCCCACAAACCTTTCACCAGTGAAGATGTCTTTGCTGTGTCTCTCCACCAGATGACAGACGTGCTGTATCATTTTAGTTGCTGAAAAGAGAATTAACCATTCATTTTAAAGGCTTTGAGGAACCAGTAAATCTTTTGTTCCTCGGTGGTTGTTTTTTTTATTCAATAAAATGAACAAATGAAGACAAATACTGTATATTTTTCTAAGGCTCCATCGATTTTCACAAGCAAATCTGTGTATGTTTACGTGGGGATATCGGAGGCACCAATGTGATCTTAAGGCAAAATTATTAGACATTGTGTGTGTAACAAGCAAGTGCAAGTAACAAGCAGTGATATACTCTAGATTGTGTCACTGTGACCTCTGAATCACAAAATAACAGTCAGGCTGTTTACCTCCTGCCCCAGAACAAGTACCAGGTGGTCTTTGGAGATTTAGAGATCTGATTCGTTGTCATTATGGCTTAGTTTAGGTTTGGTAAAGAGCAAAGAGACTAAGGGGTTCATCGCACTTCCAACAAGCAGCAAGGATGTGCAACCATCCTGAGAAGTGTGAAAATAACAGTTACAGTAAGTCCCAAGCCCACACAGTCACTAGAATATCATATAAATTGGAAAAGGCAACCACTTACAAACCAATTAACAGCAAAACTGCCTGTTTTAGAGGAAAGTCAGGAGGAGGGGAGGAGTTGAATTCCCTTCAGGTGAGAAAAAGCTATTGCTCAAACAAACTCATTTTAAGATAATACACTCAACCCAATGTATTTTGGTTCTGTTGACTAATGTGGGAGGATGTGCCAATTGATTAAAAAGATATAGCTGCACATACTGTATCTGGAACATAACACCCGAATAGAAAAAGTCACATGCTAACAATCCAGCTATTAACGTATCAGACCAGGAGAAGGCAAACTGCTATGTTCTGATGTACATAAATATACACACACAGAGCCAATCACACACACTAATCAATTTTATCATAAAGGGGTTTAAATGAGGTAAGGTTTTTGGGTCCATGTTGAGATCACCTTGAGGTGGAACAATTTACAAAAAGGTTTTACGGCAAATATTTGAGATGTGAGTCACTGACGTCTAGACAACTACTGCATCTTTGGAGCCAAGGATGTATAGGGACGTATGCTGTGATGGCATGCGTAGGTGTGTGCAAGGCTAAAAAGTCGAGGAGCACAAGGCACTATTCCCTGCTGAAAACAGTGTAAAGCCCTGTGTGTTGTTTGGTATCTGATTTGATCAAGAATGTTTATGCAACACCTGTGTGTTAAAAACTGTGCACAATGTGTGGTGCGTGTCCACATGGGAAGTTCATTACGGCAGTACACTCGGAGCGATGCAGTCCTACAGTCCAGTGAAGAGTCGTTTTGACTGAGGGTGAGGAGAGTTGAGCTGGGAAGCACAGAGGGGAAACGAGGATGGGAGGTTGGAGTCCAGCCCCTGTAGTCTATGGCAAAGTGAACAGGAAGCTCGCTCAAAAGTCTCAGTCCATTCCCAGAAGGCTGCTGCTGAGCTCCAGGCCACAGCATGATGGCTCTACAGGAGGGTCAGAGAGAGCAGAGGAGCACGGCAAAGGGGGAAGGGGAGGATGAGAAATTTGGACTCCTGGGGCGGGGGGGTGTCCACTGCTCTTTTCTACCCCTGGGTGACGAGTGTGAGCCAATTCTGGGCCGTGGTGGCATCGCTCATCATCTGGCAGCAGATTGAGACTGTGAAGCCATGATAATGTGAGAGGGTCCACTCTCAGCCCTCTGGTGCTGGCCCATTCCTGCCAGCACAGACATAGCCATGGCCTCAGCTGCTGCCCTTGAGCTCAGGCCGTTGTGCCCTGCAGAGGGGCTGGGCGCCAAAGAGCTGTGTTGGATAACCGGGGCAGGGGAACCTGTGGGCTCTGAGGTGTCTTTCATGCTCTCCTCTGCAGCTACACAAAAAACACAAATACAGACTTAAATGTAAACTGGCAAAAGCCTTAAAAAATACACATAAAAGGCTACCAGGTGAGAAACGTGTATTAATTATAAAAAGGTTCACCTAAGTAGGCAGTCTTTTTCTGTAGGTTGGTCACAGGACAGTCCTTGTGGGCCAGCAGCAGCTGCTTCAAATGAGCCACCTCGTTCCGCAACAGAGACACTTCATTCTGCAGGATCAGAAAATAAGGACGTATGAACACTTTTAAATAATTCATAGTTTATATCATAGTTGGGTAGACATACAGTATACCCAAATTTAAAAGCATTACTAATGCTGGCTTGTATAACTCAAACCAGGGAGACTTTCCAAATGTTTTCACTTAGTTGATTTTTTATGATTTTCAGCTAGGAAATGCTCTAAAGGGGTAAACAGTCTGTTTTCCACTACAGTACAGCTGGCAGTGGAAAAGTGGTTTTGCGGTGTAAAAATAACCTGCAACCACCAAATAACACAATAAAGATGTGAAACAAATTCTAATGAGTTCCATGGGTACAAGTCCTGTCACATCACCCTTTTGCAAATTCACCCTGAAACTGTGGTTATCTGGAAAACACCTCACAAACATTCTCAACTAGTTGAAAGCCTCTCAACTGGGTGCACTCAGGGTGATTATGCACACATTAACACAGGCCTCCCACAAGCCACGTTTCAACCCCACCCACCCACTCCAAACCCACTCACCGACAGTGAGACGTTCAGGTTGCAGAGCTCCTCAGCCTTCTTCTCTAGGGAACTGACCCAAAGTTTGCGTTTCTGTCTGCAGCGCGATGCTGCGGCCCGATTCCTCTCGAGAAAACGCTGCCTTCGCTCATCTGGGTCATCGTCTACTGTCCGCCGCCGACGCCCACCTGTAGGCTGTGCTGGAGATACCTAGAGGAAGAAGGGGAAAGGGTGAGAAGGAAACAGACAGTCAGGGGAGGGCAGGGGAGGGGAGGGGAAGAAAGACGAGAGAGAAAAGGGAAGTTTGAGTCATAGTTTCATTATTTCAGTCAGAGCACATTATAGTCATCTTGCTACCAGAAGTACAGCCCCAATTTTCTGTAACAGAAACAGGTGCTATGTCATATATCAATTTTTTTTTAACTCCGTTACTTTTGGTAATTTTCTGAGATTCTCCAAATTTAAATGACATTGAAATTCAGCACAGGCCCTCAACTGTAGGCAACACGGTGTACCTGAGGTTGTGCAGGTGATGGAGCATCTGGCTGTTGGACAAGCAGCTGGCTCTGCTCTGCCCTTTGAGGTACCATGGGGCTGCTGCCCATGGCCATGATTCCCATACTATGTCCTGACGGACTCTGCTGGGACAGTGCAGCCTTTAGACGCTACATGAGAACAATGATATGACCAATATTAGCCCAAAGCAACAGTATAATAAATGTAATCTAAGTATAAAAGAAACGTCTTTATCATTACAGAAAAGGTCTAAGCACTGAAAAGGCAAAGACGGCAACGACACAGCAGGTCAGATTCAAAAGCAATAGCACTACAATTTTTTTGTGTATTTTTTGTTGGCATTTAAACATCAGCTCATTTACAGTATCGGCAACAACTTGGCCTCAACCTTTGTTACTAATCTTCAATGCAGCCTAACGCATGTTGTTCATCACTTATGCACCAGATGTATTGTGTGATGAAACTTGAGTTATTACATGTTTGTGCTGCCATTTTCTGCAGCAGACAGACTGCTCAGTATCCTTATGTTACATTCAATAAATGTTTTCTGCTAGATCTATGATGCTTTCACATCAACATAATCAAATACGGACAGGTTGTACAGGTCTTTGTTTTTGGAAAAACCTGAATTCTCTAAGCCATGAATTTGAACAGGTGCTTAATATTTGTGTATATTCCAGTGTGTAATATTTTGGCTGTATTGGCAGAAATAGAATATAATATGCATAACTATGTGTTTTTTTTTCGTGTACAATCTCCTAGTAATTGTCATGTTTTTGTTACCTTAAAATGAGCTGTTTATATTGCCATCCGTGCAGTCCACCATGTTTTTCACAGGTTTTGCTACCACTGTCTACTTCGCGCTTGGAAAGGGAAGGTGAAGCGACAGAGTGTCAATCTGCAACTACACTGGTAGATGCCACCAAATCCTACACACTGGAGCTTTAATTTAACACTTTGACTTTACACACTGGAGCCTTAATTTAACACTTTAATTCTACAAAGATCTTTGCCCTCGCCTGACATTGTCACACAGTTGCAGCTTGTTTTCAGCATTCATGTGACATCCTGTTCTGCCTCAACACGTTTGTATTGGGTTCAGCGATGGAGGCTTTGTAGCTGATGTGAGTCAACCAAAGTTATATGTTCCTGGAACAAGTTTCTGATGATGTTGTTGATGTTGTGTGACTCTACATTTGGGTAAGTGTCTGAAATATCAATGCTTACTGTAGAGTAAACTGTTTACTATATACAGAGTAGTGAATGAGTTAACCCATGTCCCGTGTGTGATAACATATACCCCTAGCCTTCATTTCCACCAATTATCTTCCACTTGTAACTGAAGGAGCAAGCAGTTTGTGTAAATAATCTACTAAAGTGGATACTTTGTGTATGTTGTAACACTAAAAACCATGTACGCACTAGCTCAGTTTCATCTGAAATACAACTGAAATGTAGGATCTTACATAGAGCTCTGTCCGTACTTTGCGGTATAAATCCAGCACAAATTGTGGTGTTGTGATGTAAGAGTTAAATAAACAAGTAACTGCAGTAAAAAGTCATATGATGAACAAACTAAGCCAGTACAGAGGAAGGCTAGAGGGTGAAGATGGAGACAAAAAGAACAGATAAAGAGATAAAAATAGCGAGCTAATCTAGTGCTGACCATCTTGGCCTCTGAGTGCATGCTGTAGCCAGAGGGAGAGTTAGAGCCGCTGCTGCTGCCTCCCAGAGGAGGACCGGGGATCCCAGGAATGTTGGGTACCATGCACATAGGTCGGGCCAGCTGGAGAGCAGATAAAACACACAGACACACATGTTTTAATAACTTGAACCAGCTCCGTAACTATAAAACTGAATTTAGACTGTTGGTCTGCCTTACATTAATGACACTCTGTACTGGACCAGGGAGCACAGGCACTGCCTGACCAGAGGGAAGCATCATCATTGGGTAGTGGCTGGTTGGTGAACTAGACAAGCAGACAACAGAGGGACAACAGGAACAGGAGGTTTCGTCATGTTTGTTTAAACTCCCAAGTTTCTGTAACATAGCAACTATTTAGGAAACAATTATCCACTTCAACCCCCACAAATCCACACTTATTAGTCCAAACTGTGCTTTAAAGTTTTTAAAGAAACAACTTGTGTCAGTTTTTTTATGGGGAAACATTTAAAAAGATGCACAAAACAAACAACATATTTCAATTTGTGCAGCCACAAAAAACATGATTATCTTAGCTTTGTAGCGTTCACTCATAAACATCATATTGGTTCAACATAATGTTGGAACCAGCAGATAGAGAATATACATATGATATTGTAATCAAGACATGTGGAATACTTTAAAGCTACTTAAAGGAATTTTTAAAAGGCAAATCCGGGTTCAAGAGGTTCAGCAGAGGTCAGTAGAAGGACGCTGAACTTTACTCACCCCAGAGTACGATTGGAAGGTGGTGCCTGTGTGATGACAGAGGTGGGTGATGGCATGGTAGGCTGAAGGGCATCAAAGCCCAAGTGTAGTGGGAGGGAACCTGGACGCACAATAGTCGGGGTGGGGGCTGAACTCCTGGGTGGTGTGTCCTAGGAGTAGATAAGTAAGTTATGAAAAATAGTTACAACAGAGCTTTCGGTTGTCAAACTAAAGACACAATAGTTTCAACATGTCAGGCATCACATCTCAGAGAAAAAAGCCAATATTATTCACTTCAAAGTGCATTCATGTAATACTGCAAATGTAATGATGACGTGCATTATGATCCATACTCTTCCCCCCTCTTCCCTAGACAATTATGCAATCCTCCCTCCTCTCATGTCTGTCCTACCTTTCCTCTAACCAGAAGCTCTCTGCTGCTGTCTGACCTTCCAGAGATAGATTCAGGGCTCTCTGGTGGCGAGGAGTCGACCTCTACAGGTGCTTCTTTTTTCACCTTCACGTCCGATGTCGTCTGCAGGCTCATGTCCAAAGCCACAGAGTTGGGTGCAGGAAGCTGAGATGTACAAAGACAGTGAGAGATAAAGAGTCTAAGTTCACGCTACTTATCAACGATAAGAGAACATACACAACAGTACATTTAAAAAAAGGGAAGTGTGCATTAATTGTATTCATCACACAAACCAAACAACCACAAAATTATTTTACGAAACACTATTTTAAGCGTAATGCACAGTTATGATAATAATAAAATCATCTTTACAAGCAGTTGCAATAGGTTGAATGATAATAATACACAAAGTGCACAAGGCAGGAAATTCTGCAAGCAATCGTTTTTGACTGCATCGACACTTGAGGTAAGAAATAAGGAAGTAAGTAATTTATCACTACGTGGGAGTTTTTGCACAAAATTCCACTGGTTTCTATTCATATTAATGCGTGAAGGCGCGCACGCGCACACACACACACACACACACACACACACACACACACACACACACAGATGACAACATAGACAACAGCAAGCTTTTCTCACAGAGTTCTTTGCTCTCTTGTCATCGTCGTCTTGTTCGAAGGAGCTGGCCAGCTCATTGAACAGACCAACCTCCTCGCAGTTCTTTAGGAAGCGGGTGGGAGTAGGTGTCTGGTCTGGCAAAAGGGAATGAACACATAACTATTCAAAGTAACGCTTTCACACGCAGTTCACACTTAGCATTGAATATAGAAACCATGTCATTAATGTGTCTTTGGAGCTGCTTTTCTTGAGCTAGTACTAATAGTGTTGGAACACACTGACACTGAGGTATGCTAAACAGTCTTCATTTGAATGCTGGGACAGGATATTTAACAAAGAGGATGAGTAAAGCTGTGCGTTTGTCACATTGACAAACAGTACCTGCAATAATGACAGAGTCTGTCCTGGCTGGTCCAAATTTCAATGTCATCTCGTGCTTGTGTTTGTGTACAGCCAAGTGGTCCTCATTGGTAAACCTCTGGAACAAGTGAACAAGAAGATAAGAGGAAAGATAAGTACATTATATGAAGTAGCCTACAGGTAATTGTCTATTTGTCCTGGTGATCTGTAGTACATTAACTTAACCCAGATATCATATTGCAATAATCTCTTTTTAGATGTAACCCAGCGCATTCAGCCTATACTATGTACATTATGTGACAAACCATAAAGAAAACTGTATCTGTGGTGTACAATTCCTCATGTCTTAAAAGCCCTGTATGGGCCCATTATAGCCGTAGGACATGGGCTCAAATATCTTAGCACAAACTAGAATTATCTAGAAAAAGAAAAAAGGGCTTGTATGGATTACAGCTGAAATGATTTTAACAGCACAGAAATGTAGGGAATGAAAATATTAACAAATTGATGAAGTATAAAACCCACTGACACAAATAAATATCAAAAGTAAATGAACAGTCAAACCAAAACAGATGCTACAAATGCAAATGCATTTTTACAGAAGAGAACACATTGTTGTCAAACTAGTCAGTGTGTAGAACGGATGATGCCATAAGTGCAGTAAAGCTCTGGGGTAACCTACGATCGGTTATTTCCTATCACTTATCCACAGTGGAAGCTACAGGAGATCTGGCACATGGGCAAATCAGACCTTTACAAGAGAGCACTGACAGTCATCGTCTGGGACACGGCACTTCTTTGGAGAAGTGGTGAGGTGAATCAGTCAGAGGCGGAGGAGGAATAATCTTGGCTCTGGCACCAGCCTATTCACCATTCGCTGCAGCCTATTTTGGGGCACTGCGTTGCAGTTGCGAGTTCAGTCGTGAGAGATTGAAGTGGAAACACAGTCAAGTGTCAGGGGGCTTATTTTTAGCCCTACCAGGCAGCATCACCAATACAACTGCATGTCTGATTTGTCTCTTTCCTCTGAACAAGGCAGCTGGGTCTTGTGGAGGAAACTATCTCCAACTAATCTCCGTGTATGAGATACTGGCAGCTAGGATTACCTCTCTCCACACAGTGAATACTGGGGGGCTGTTTGTGTTGTTGTTGTTGTTGTTGTTGTTGTTGTTGTTGTTGTTGTTAACAACGTGGGAAGAGGAAAACCCTGAGCAAAGCCAGGAGTCAATCATCCTCGTTCTATTATGGACATGACGCAGACTTTCCTGGTAGACAACTGTTGCTTGTTAACGGCAGCAGTAAAACGGCATTTGGTCATACGGCACTTGTAACATAAAGGATTTTCTGTGTCTAAATGTACACAAACAAATATCATCAACCATGATAAATATAAACTCAGCACATGTCTAAGCTAATATGCAGAACTGGGTATTGAACCTCAAGTATTACCCAAGTATTGAAAACTAGTTTTTAGTAGAGTAAGTCCCTTTTTCTTTGGTCAGATAGTTCTTGATCTAAATAAAAATGTTGTCTATGTTAGAACGTATTTGATTTAGGTCAATATCTTGTTTAACTGCTTGTGTTTAACATTTAAGTCTGCAATAATTAATGATAACTAATCAATATTTTTACATTGCCAATTGTGTCATTCATTCGTAGCAACAAACCTACTGAGAATTATCACCTGACTTTCATTGTTTTTAGGTTTTCTTGCCTGCAACTATACCGTTCTGGTTCAGTCCCACTGCTCTCATCAACTCCAGTTCCAGCTGCAGTAGACAGCTTTGTTCAGTGAAAATAAATCGGATAAATCCACTGTGCGCTACCTGCCCAGCACTAACTGCAAATTGATACACAAACTTAGCGACCAACGCCAGCTCAAGAACATAGTGGACAATCTGGCAGCTACAGAGGCAGATATATTTCACTCTGGCAAAGACCAAAACTGAGCAAAAAGAGAGAATATTAGACTTACATTTACAGTTAAAGACCTACACCGTCAACAACATCTGTCTGGAAAAGCTTCCATATGATTCTGTTGTTTTAACTTCCAACTAAATTAATAATGATATCTACAAATGAAATATGCAGAGTATTTACATCACAGAAACATGTCAAGGAAAGTTAGTTGTTCAAGGAAGAGGTCCCTAGGTGTCCATAATGTTCTGGAAAAAGAAAACATAGCAAAACAAACAAACGCATCATTTATTTATCCAACACACGCATGTTTAACTGCTTTACATGCCTGCTGTTCAAACCGCAACTCCCATGTACAACAGATCTCGTCTGATCAGAGAATGCAAGACGGCTTATGAATCACAAATGTTTCTTAACTACATAAACACTTTCTTCCTCCAGACCCCAGGAGAGAAAATCCATCACCAGCTCTCTCAGACCCAGATGAACAAAGCATCAGACAGCTAATTGAGCACAACATCAGACATGATATTTCCTGTGTTGAATAATCACGAGTCCTTGAACACACTTCTTTTAATTTGCTGTGATAACCCCCGACTATACACCACGTTACTGGCATGTGAGTGCACTATTGGCACTCAGCTGAGTCACTGCCGTGGCTCAAACCTATGTCTGCAGGCGCGAGAAGTCAACAGTGACAGGTTGAAACAATAACTATGCTCTGATTACTCACTGGAGCTTCCAGTGAGTCATTGCTAAAGGAGACAGCATTGTCTCACAAGGCAGCATGTTAGCTAGAATGCTATGTGTGTGATGATCATTAAGAGTGTTGCATAAATCACTGCCAGTTAGCTTATTCTGGCAATGAGACCGAGCATGATAGCAGACCAGAAGTCACGTTTATCAACTTCTCTCACTGTATGTTATTCTACTTAAATCAAGTCTTTTAAAGTCTTTTTTCTTGTGCTTTCAATTCATTTTCTTTTAGAAGTAATACTTTCAATCATAAGTTGTTACAGTCAACTGCTAGAGAGTACTTACATAAACACAAAAATAGCCCACACCACACAGATATGCACACACATGAAACCCAGGACAAGGAGGCAGAAGACTTACCTGTCCACAGCCAGGAGCATTGCACACAAAAGGTCGGTCGTCCCCCATTTTTGCAAAGAGCTTGCAATGTAACTGTGGGAGAGGAGAAGAGGAGAACATTGCTGCGGCTTTTTCTTGATTTGTGAACTGGCAAATCCTGAAAACAACAAAAATGGGATGCTGTGGCTTGTAGTCTTTAGTCTGAGCAGGAAGCCGAATGGTATTTAAAAATAACCCTGGCAAGGAGGAAAACATGCACAGAGGCAGCGAGACGAAGTTTCCCTGGTGATACTTCCTTCACACAGGGGGGATTCTGGTTGGCCAATAAGGAGCCGCTTACAGGAGAGAACGACAGCTACCGTTTACACAAAGACATCTCCCTCTCCTTCTGTCTCATTTTCCTTCACTTCCAATCCCTCCTTCTCTCATTACCACTCCCTCTCCTCACCTCTCAAGCACCTCCCAACATTTTACCTTCTTGTACCCCTCATTCAACCTCTCCCTCTCTCAGCTGTTTCTCTCTGCTTCGGTAATCTCCATCCGCTTTCCCTCAAGCGAATCCACAACACAAATATCTTGAAATAGGCACATTCACACTGACCTAACACTGTATCTCATTTTGTTGTCCTGAGTAGCTCCAACTTACTGATGGGGATCCTAACAAATAAACAAAACTTGCTTTTTCTGTCTCGAGATACAAATTACTGAGAAGGTCACCAAATCTACAACTGACAAAATTAAATTTTTTACACAGTATATGAATGCCGACAATGTTACGATACATATAAATATTCTACCTTTGCAAGCTGGTTGCCAATAAAAGAAATTAGAATGAAAATTAAATATTTCATATTAATTGAATTATTAACACTGCTGCTGTAACCGTATGATCTAAAAGAGAGAGAACATATTTTTAATGCCAGTAATTCAAGTTCAAGTTGAATTAAGTTAGTTAATTATATTGTCCAACCCTATAAGGTAATAACACAATATGAAGGCTTTTATTGGGGGGCTACTAACGCAGCATAAATATTTGGTAAAACTGTAAAAATAGAGGCACATAAGGATAGCATTGTTGGGCGTCTGAATACACTGGAAACACTTCCAAAGCTTTCCACAGGACAAGAAGCCAAATACTACATCCCTCTCTTCCTGAATAATGCTATTGTCAAGAGTTAATTATGCACATGCTTATGTTTGGTTTCTCCTCCTGTTGTGCCTGAAGCTGAAGTGACATAAACTAATGCTGTGCGTGGCTTACAGGTTCTATCAGCTGTTTCCACAGAGCAGAGTAACCCCTCACAAACCCCCTCCACGTCAACCCCCCCCCAACCCTGCACTGCTCTGCACAGCTGAACGACACACCATGTGAAGAGAAACTGAGGAGTTGAGAAAAAAAACTTGTCGCTGAATCTAAATCAGTTTAGAGGGGTGGCGATGGACAAGGGACATTAATGTTTTAGCACTCTCAACTGGCCCAAAGTGACGTCTGGCAGCTATTACGCAACAATGTCCCACTGACAGCACAGCAACTACCAACATGCATCGAGGACCTCGCTGTGTATACATGTAGAAACGTTTCAATAAACAAAAGCCACGACTACAGTAATACTGAAGAAGGTTTTGCTCAAACGCAGTCATGATGACATGATAATTTAATACTAATCCTTCAAAACGTACTTGAGATGTGTTTTGTGCTCCTATACTTTTAACTATGATGTTGGCATGACAGCCTCTGCACTTCTGTGTTGTTAAGACTTGTTTGTAAAGCTTGCTTAATCTTGTTCATAAAAAATAAAAAAAATCAACTGATGCCTTATCCAGCTTTCAGGAATATGTCTATCTATTCCACAAATTGGAAAGCACCATTAGTTTATCATTTTTAGTTTTGTAATATTACCGAGTTACTGACCACATTAACCTCTGCTGTACTTACATGGATTGAGCATGTAGTCTAACATTATTGAGTGGGACGGATTATTCATTATGTTGGCGAGGCATAAATGTCTGAAAGTTTTCCCAATGTTGAAGTCAGTATATTTTCCTCCCTCTTCCCTCCCTCTGCCGAGGACAGCTGCCCCTGAGCCAACACATGATTACCGAGGCCTTGCGCTGGAATACAACGCTCTCCCATGACGCCGGCACTGTAACAGACCTAACCGTTGTGTCTCTCAGCTCCATGTCTTTATGAGGAAAGAGGTCTGCATCGTGTTTGCAAGCAAAAGCCCTGTCCCTCTCCGTGCAGATCAAAGGGACGATGAGGCAGACCTCCCATGCTCTGGAGAAAGGCAACAGGTTGGTGCCAGGGGCCTCACAAAGTGCTTCCAATCCACTGAGTCTATTTGGGCAGAGATGTGTCTGCAAACGAGATACTCCGTCTACCTCGTTATACCGAGGGTGTGGACTATGTGAGGAAATGGACACATCTGGCGTGAGGAGTGGGAACAGATTTCAGAGTTTACATCTTACTAAAGACATGCTAGACATTAACTTGGCTGGCTGGCACCAACATAAAATGTGGGCTTTCCACCATAAATTTTAGATGACAAGGGTGGAAAATAACATTTGTTTTCATAGCTGCCCCAACCAATATCATAACCTGATTAAAACAGATGCGTTACGGTATTTTCTTCAGCATCTATTGCTTAAAGAAAAAGAAGAAGATATACTTTAGCTTCAATCAACAATGAATGACATCTCAACATCTGTAATCCTCTGCTGGGTCCACATGTATACAGAAAGAAATGACGCTGTTAATTTATTACTTTGATTGTCAGAGGTGTCTCACTGAGAATAAACAAATTAATGACTTGACAGCGTAAAGTTTTACTGCACACTGTAAAATGCTCGGTTTCGTGCAGACCTCAACTCTGCGAGACACAATAAATCAGTCTGCTAGTTACATTAGTCCTGATACACATCGCTGATATTCATTACAGGCATGGGTATCAAGTCCACCTATTTTCGCCTCCTTTCATCCAAGGTGACATGGAAGCACTCAAAGTGCCCAAATTCCTGTCGCTCTCATTGAGCTGCTGCCAAAGTCCCACCGTTAACTTGGATTTCTCCGACTCAGCAGGTGTAGGGGAACGAGTCCCAGCTATAATCAGCCACAGCCATCCAGTGTTTGATGCAGCCTGCTAGGAAACTGACTAAACAAACTGTATTAATAGCTTGCGCTGCAGCCATGACTCTGGAATCTGAGGCTTGAATTGCCAGAGGGTAGGGAGACCCCACAAAAAGAAAAAAACAGTACAGGAGAGGGAGGGAGAGTGTGAAATGGTGAAATAGCAAAAGAGAGAAAGAAAAACACGGACAGCGATTGGTCAATTGAAGGATCGCAGATATTTGCCGGATCACAGGTGAGGTTGTGTAAATGGGAGATCTAAGCTGTAGATGGGTGTGTGTGTGTGCAACAGCCAAAATGTATTTATGTAAGCAAAGTGAACCCGAGATTTGTTAAATGGAACAAATGAAATCCTATATCCATGTCTGCATAACTAACAAGGCCTAAAAGCTAAATCCATGCCGAGCTAGCAGACAATGCAGGACAATACAGGATGGACCCAGGGCAGGTTTCTAAAATTAAATCAGCAGTACTGCGCCGATTTGAGTCGTGGTCGGCTACTTTTATAAGCACTTGCCCGTGAGGTCTTGGTTCTGTTGCAACAAATTCAAAAGAAAAAGACCATGTGGCTTGATGTTTTGGGCCTCATCAAAAACAGAGCCATGGACAGCCTCTGGTGCTGACAATAACTTTGCATAATAATGTATGTTTAACGCTTCACAGAATTAAATACTGAATTAACAAACCAATAATAAAACGGACAGACTTTGAAACACAGACATGCACGCTCAAACACGTATTTTCGCGACATTAAATGTATGCACCACATGTGTTTAAGTTGCAGCAGGGTATATTTATGTTGCATACAAAAAAAATCGACTTTATATCATTACCCAGAGTGAGTCAAGATGTTTGATTGGATCAAACAGGCTGCAGTTTTCTCTGGTGTAACTCTATGTGATGGAATGAGGTATAACTCTGCCAAAAACATGACCTACATTCCTAATGAAGGTGTTGACATGCATGGGGATGCGGATCCTGGGGCGTTCAAAAGCTCAAATTGCAATACTATGGATATCATTATTACTTGAGACTTTCTGAGAGCTCTTTAGAGGCTCTTCGTGCAGACCCAGATTGTCATTACAGCATATTCTACCGCCAAAAAAACAGACAGGCAAATATTATTTTCGTCGGGGGTTTCAGGCATGTTTAAAAGAGATCAATGCCAAACCGAAATCCCAAAGTCCTGCAAACTTTAAGTCCCTTCGTCCAGACAAAGCTTGACTGGCTTGAAAAAAGTTAATCTTTTTTAGCCTTCATTACCGTCTGGCGAGGTTCGGGCACACTTAGCCCTGCCTGTTCCCGTAACAAGACCGCCTATTCTTTACAGCAATTGGCTCTGAGCACGTCAGTCAACAGCCTCTGATACACGCAAAGCCTCGGATCCTGTCAATAACATCGCTTAGCCGAATCTTATTGGTTAAAAGCCCGAAATCAACTTTTTGTATCCACGAGAAAAAAAAAAAAAAAAAAAAAAAAAAAACTAATGGCTAGCTTGGTGTGGCTAGCGTTAACAACAGGCCGAACGCACATTCAAAGTGAGTAATAACAGCGCTACTACCACCTCCGACGATGACAACAAACACTCACCGACACTTATTTAATTACACCCGAAGTGAACTGCTGTGTTTTAAAGGTGCTGAGGGCAGTCAAAAAGCAGAAAAGCAGTGGGGGTAAAAGCTAGCAGTTAGTTGGTTAGCGGACTGACACTTGAGTGCAAGGCGAGACAGTGGGTCCGAATGAAACGTTGTTACTGCCACAATAGTTCAGACATTTACTCAGACGTGTGGTTTTAACAACGACAAACGCTTTAAACTGGCACAGCGAGCGCTACTTTCTCATAGTTTAGTGCAGTCGACATATCTATGGCGAATTAAAAAGGGTAATAAAGTGTTTACAAACTCACCCTTGCGCCCCTCTCTCTGGCTCCCCTCTCCTCTCCTCTCTCTTGGAATTTGACACTCCCCTTGACGTCGAATTATCGCGAGATTTCATATCAGTTATCGTGGTGGGACGTTAGGAGATGTGTCCAGACCTTGAGAGGAAGAAACTCTTGACTTTGTTGGCTTTGTGCTTTAATATTTTAATAACCTGGAGAGAGATTGGAGGTATACGCAGGAAGATATAACCTCTGTCAGCCTAGACACAGGATAAAAATACACCAGTTGTGTCCTCACTATCAAAACGTGTGAGTGACCCTGTCTAAATACTGGAATAATTAATAATAGTTTTATTTGCAAAGCACTTTTCAAGCTTGAGCAGAAAGTGCTCTCCAGATTTAAACATATACATAACAGAAAGTACAATCAGAAACCCAAGAGCCACCCGGCCTGGAACCACCAATGAACACACAAAAGTAACAGTAATGTTAATATACTTATATATATAAAGAAAGAGTAAACTGATGGTACTAAATAAGGGCAAATTAAAAATCATTATGAGAAAAAACACCATAAAATAAAATACATATGTAAATAATGTAATATAAATAATATATATGAAAATGCTAAATTCCCAATCAGCTCACTGAATGTAATAGGTGAAATACTTTAGTATGATAACATATTATAAACACTTGAAAACTGAAAGAAAAAGTATTGAACTTTTTCTTAAAAAGTCATTTAAAACTTTCATTTGATAATATTTGCGCACCATTTCTTAACTACAAGTAATTGTTTGTGTAAACCATATTTATTCTGTTATATGACAGGATATAAAATACCATTAAAGATCAGTATCTGTTAGTTTTATCATCCTTTAAGTCAGTGGTTCTCAGACACAGAGCCACTGCAGGGGTGTGTGGAAGAACAGAATATGGAGTGGAACAAAGTGAGTGAGTGAATATGATTTTTGAGTTTGCTGAAGCTATAATTGTGTTGACTTTTATTTAATTAAAATTCAGCTTGGAATCTTTCTATCAGTTCGCAAATCATTATTAATGATTGATACAAATTGTGGGGGCGTGAACTGAAGGGGAGCATGCCAGAGAAGCTTGAGAACCACTGGTTAACGTCTCTATCTCCTTCTATAGTATTATTATTAATAGTACTATTATTGTTGTTGTTGTTGTTGTTGTTGTTGTTGTTCTTTCGTCCTTTTTACAAGGGTTCGGAGGAGTTTGTCCCTACCCAAATCCAAGGTCTAAAGATAGAGGGTGTCATATACTGGACAGATTTGAAAGTTATTTCCTAGTCCCACACTATGGCTACTTTTCTCTCTGTTGTGGTAAATATTATATTTATTTAATTTATTTATATAAATTATGATTAATTCAATTGTTGCATAATGTGTCACAATTCACACAATGAGTCTTTTCCCCTCTTAATTTGGTTTCCTTCCTGATATTCTCACCCTGTTCTCTCTCCTTGGAAGTGGGCGTCCTGACTGTGGCACGGCAGCGTGGTGTACAAGCCTAAAACAACAGGCCAAAATATTACAAATAGGCTACGGTGGTTGAACTAGAGAATGCATCGAGTATTAAAGACGAGGCAGCTGATGTAATCCACAGCAACTGTTACACAACGTCGCAATTTCCCTCCAATATACAAGTCACACTAAACATCCCATTCAGAGGCTGTTTTACAAGCCAGTGAATGTGAATTCAGAGACAAGGCTTTAGAGACCCCCAGTGGATAACCAGAGAACTGAATGTGCTCAGGTTAACATTTGCATTATTATTATCATCTATCAAGAAAAGGAAGATCAGGGAGATCAAATTACTGTAGCATTATGTTTTGCCGAAGATGTCCAAGATAGTTTTCAGTGTCAAAATAAATGTTAAATTCCTGTTCAGCTGTTATTTATTGTCTCCTCTTGTATCATTTTTTCCCCAAGTATTTAAAACTGGTTAGAAACAGCTCCAAGTAACAGTCGTGACAGTAAATTTATGACACTGTTTCTCATATTTGAGCTCCTCTGGCCCTTTCATTGTAATGACTATGATTCAGTCTAATGTAATAACACAGGCACTATGTGATGACATCCTAATCACCAATAAGAAGACGCAGTTCAGTCGTAATCTAGCCTTTTCTTTACTAAATTAATATTAAATCTGTTGTATATATTTATGATCTAGCAGATATAGTTATATATTATAACATATCAAATTATTAAATTCTTAATTTAGATGTTCTTTACAGTGTTCAATGTATGTAAACTTTTATCGTCTAAAGCGTTGAACCTTGATAACTTGATTTGGTAATCAAATCTCACTCGCAGTGTAATAAAAGTGCAGGAGAAGCACAGGTGTAAACAATAAAACAAGTGAGGGCTGAATTCCATTTAGCTGCTTTGGTTTCAGGGTCCTGGTATGGTGCACGCTGGCTCACTAGAATAGAACTGAGCCATTGTTAATGTTATTAATGACACCTCTGATTTTCCTACTCTGACAAGTCAAAATGTCTGCTGTGAAAAAAGTGTCTGCTGTGAAAAAAAGAGCTATGCAAATAAAACCTCAATCTGAATCGCCTGAATAATTTGAATGCGACACAGTCAAAGTGTTTTAGTGTTTCATAGCCTACCACAGCTCAGCTTTTAAAGTAATAGTGCTTCATTTTCAAATGTTAGTTATTACAGCAGACGGTTTAATCTTAATGAACAATAAAGAGGAAAAAAATGATTTGGATATACTGTAAAGGCATTTACTTTCATTACGTTGACAAAGAAAAAAAAGCACTTTTGCTGTACACTAGACATGATCTAAGGGGTTAATGTTTATACAGAACAAGCATCAAAACAAAATCAAGCACAGAAAAGGTCAGATTTTAGACAGATGCCATAACAAACGTAAATACATTTTGCAAGCTTATTTAGTGATTTGTTCAAGGACAAAAACTTAGTATTCATGCTATTTCATGGTTCTAACATTAATTTAAAATAAAGTATATGCTGCAAAATTCTGGACGAGGGAGCACCCTTGAAAACGTCCACTGTTAAAAAAAAACAAGAGCATTTTATTCCCTCTTGGCAACTGCAACTGCACCCTTCATTAAAATAAAGCCCAAATAAATAGGAAATGACAGCAGGCATGTTGACATCACTTTTATCAGCGTTGAACATTTTCAGAGGACTAGATGGAGGCAAAATTAGAGAGTGTGAACCAATCTGTCAAATCAATTATATTATTCTGCAACTTTTTGTTGCTTCTACATAACAATCTTTATATTTATTTTTTATTTTTTTGTTTATTGGTATTTCAAAATTCCTTGCATTGTGAGTTCACTGGGACGTCATTGAGAGAGAGATGGCCACTTCAACTATCATACTAACTACATAGCATTCGTTCCCGAGCACTACTTCAGGAACTGCATCTTGTGACAGAATTACTGGACAGCCTGCATCATCAGACATTATCCCTCATTCATTAAACCTCGTACATTTAAATCTAATCTTACAATGAGAATATACTAATTTTAACACCAAACTCAATAACATTTACATTTTAAAATGTAATATTCAATACATAATCGTGAATTTTGCATACAATTTGTTTTTTAATAAACCTAGTTAAAATTTGAAAGATGCACTGGCTCTTTATGAACAGATGGATGATTGAAGACAACTAGCTTCATGTTGTTGTTGTAGCCCAACAATCCCGATGTTGTTAATTTCTGTAATGCATACATGGTGGGGCGAGAAATTAAAAAAAACATGGACTGGTGCAGTCTTTGTCCAACAACTGACACTTATCAAACTTAACAATCTGCTCATTTAGATGTTGTGCAACCACTAGATAATTAAAAAAAGACTAGAAGAGGTTTTTCCCGGTGCACAAATCTATATTCATTTGCAAGAAGGTTTGATTAATGAGGGCCACTGTCAGACAATATCCTATGTTTCAACTGACTTTTCTTGCCAATAAATGCAATGTGATGAGCTGTCTAATGGTTTCATCACCTCAGTCCCTCAGCAGTAAATAGTCTTTGATAGTCTCTGGTAAAGGAAGCTCTTTTACAGCAGTTGGGAGGAACTGGACTCCAAGACTCTGCCGGACAGCACAGCGTGCCAGAGAGCGAAGCGTAGGAGCCTGAGCCACCATGTTGGTCAGCCTCGCCAGGAGCTGGGGATCCTTACTCAGCTCCCTGGGAAGGGTGCCGTCAGCCCGTCGTATCTCAAATCGCCCTGCCGCTCGGCACAGCAGCTCTAGGCACTCCTCCTCCTGTTCAGTGCCCAGGCCCCGGGCCAACAGAGCCACCAGTCGGGAAATAGGGGTCTGGCCCTTCAGGTTGGTCACATGGACCTGGGCTCCATAGTCTAATAGTACTTTGACACTCTCCAAGTTGCCTTTCATTGCTGCCCAACTCAAAGGCGTGTCATTGTTGTAGTCCCGTGCATTGGGACAGGCCCCGCTCTCCAGCAGAGCCCTCACACACTCTGGGTTATCTTTGAAGGCGGCCCAGTGAAGTGGGGTGTCCTTGTTGCCATCCAGGGCATTTGGCTGGGCCCCGTACTCCAACAGCAGCTCCACGCAGCTCTCATCCTTTTCTGCAGCATAGTGCAGTGCTGTGCGGTTATATCCGTCCAAAGCATTCACCTGATAAGGAAATATAATGTAGTGATCAATCTTATGCTGAGGATTTAACAACAGTAAGAGTCATATTTTAATCGTGCAAGTGCAACGACCAGCAGAAGGTGTTAGGTCTCACATGGACTGTGCACCTGCTGTTTTGGTTCATGTATGTGCAGCAGCCCAAAGTGCAATTTAAGGCAGCGTGAAGTCGAATATAGATTGGAGGGCGTGGTGATTGCGCACCAAAATACCACACAGACGACCAAAGCAATTTTAAAAATACCAAACCAAGAAAATTGAACTACTTTCTACCAAATAGACAGTCCCAATGAAAACTGTGAACGGTGATTACTTAAAGTAAGAGGGACAATATCTGTAAAAACACACTGCTGTTGAATTTTATTTGTTCATTTAATTATTTGTTTGTTTTACATTTGCCTTCATTTGACAGTCAATAGTACATGCAACAAAGGTCCCCGGCCAGAAGTGAACGAGGGATGTTATGTGGCATACACGCTCATCATTTAGGTACCCGAGCAATCTGCTGTTGAATTTTTCTGTTACTTTTGTGATTGCAATGACCACCAAAAACAAAATGTTGGTCACTTCCTTTGTCTTTGGGTGAAGGCAGAAATCTCAAAAGATAAATCAAAAGACCAAATCTGTGAGGCCAGATATATGACAGGAGGTAAATGAGATGAGATGAGAAATACAATAAGTATTATTAGGATTCACAAATGCAAATTTCCTATCTTTTAGGCAGCGACTGGTTTCAATTGATGACAGTACAGTATGACACTCTTTGTCTTTGTTTAAGTACTGACACTGACAATCTGTCTGACACTAGAGAATTAGGTGTCAAACGACAACCTTTTGCTACAAAAAAATATCAATTGACATCAGTTAATATTCTTAGTCCCATGTTTGTTATGTCTTGCAAGTTTGATTTTTGCATCAGTATTGTTTGGCAACTCATATTCATTTTATGTTTCTTTATTGAACATACCAACAGGGAAAAACTTGTCCTGTTCATAGCAGGCATCCATGTTTAGTGTGACAGATTATCACAAGTAAGCTTCAACTCTCTGCAGGTTGACTTTCATATCATACAGTGGCTGTCTGGAAGGTAGTTAATTGATCAAATATCTTGTGGTATGCTTTGGGAAATTGTCCCGTGTGTAGAAGTCATCTGTAACATACCTCTGCCCCTTTCTCCAACAACAGCTCCACGCAGTCAGCATCAGCGACCATACAGGCACAGTGCAGGGGCTTAAGTGTGCCATGCATCCGGTTCACATCAGCTCCCTTAGGCAAGCAGAAGATAATAATATCAGTATATAACAGATGACACTAAGCGACAGTATTTATTTGAAGTCAGACTGAAAGATGACCAGGCCTACCTTACGAATGAGATCCTCCACATTGTCGTGTGGGAATGAGCGGATGGCTGCGATGGTGCGGATGAGCCGCTCAGACAAGGAGTATTTACTTTGAATGCTTTGCATGATGTACCACATAGTAGAGCTCATGTGTAACTGAGGACCATGGCACCCGGGCAGGGGTGACACAACGGCACACTGAAACAGATTTTTCAAGAAATTGGGAGTTAAAAGCTGTAAGACACAATGATAGAGATCCTTGAGCCTAAAAGAAATGTACCAGAATAAAACGAATAACAACTCTAAACCGCCCTCAAGGATTTTTTTTGTATTGTTAGGTAACTTAGTTGCTATTGTGACTATTTCATTATTACATGTTGTCTGTTGCTTTAACATAGAAATACATTTATTCCACCACCGTGAAACTGCACAGATTTCAACAATAACCCACTTGTTGATCTTAAGATTGGAATTGCATGCAATAATGTTGGATGACAATCGTGAACGATTGATTTCATTACCAAATTAACATATATAACATTTAACAAACTTCATTTCACCCCGGTCTTTGATCGATATAATTTGAGAATTAAGTAAATGTTATGCAATCTAGAAAAAGTGTATGCTTGTATTATCTAACGTTATCCTGCTGTTGCCAACAAAGTCACTGTCAGCAGGGGACCAGCGACCTAAGTATGCTAACTAAACATAAACAAATGACTGACACTGACAGCTAACGTTAGCTCACTTTGCAATAACATGCTAGACAACAAAAGAAACCAACATACAGTCTGTAACACTAACGCACACTGCACACCGAGTGACAACTTTAAAAAATAACACAAATTTACATACAGATCACAATAGCTACTTGACTAGAGAGCCGTCGCTGACGGGCTGGTTTAAGAGAAAAACAAAAACATATCCTGGGCTACGTTTTCACCGGCTGGTAGCAAGTTAGCTAATGCTAGCTAACGAGCTAACGTTAGCACCAAGATGAGAGGAACAATCGACACTCGTAGGCGGAAAAAAAAAAAAGACATTTATCTGAAACACTCCGAGACGCACCTCTTGTTACCCACCGATAAAAGACCGACGACCAACGGGACAACGTACCGTTTCTGGTCCACGGTGTGAAGGTTTGACGGTTACCGTACTGACGGTTTGCTGCTCGCTGTGACGTAAACACACAACGTCACCGCTGGCGGCCACGCCCTCTGCCTCGAGCCTCCGCTGTCTGTATTTAAACCCTGACGGAGCCGCCGGTCGCTTTATTAGTCGCTTTATAAGTCGCTTTATTAGTCGCTTTATTCTGCGATAACTTCAGATAATGTCGTCGTTTACTGACGCCGTCTCCACGGTGTCCTGCCGGAAGCCACGTCTCCGCTCAGCACACTTACTTTCCCAATATAGACACGTATGGCGGCACCGCAGACATCCACCGGCGTGCCGCGAATACCTCCTTCAGCTCATGACCATGTTGAGGTGCAGTCGACCGGCAGAGACACTGAACAACAACCCGTCACAGGTCGGGCAGCCAGCAAGGCAGCAAGAGACTATAACACACCATAAAACAAGGATGTTTTCAGTTTTTATAAACTCATACTTTTGTATTTAGTCTATTACAGTTTATATGTTAAATATTATAGGCTACTTAGAGCTGCAGTTATTTATTGATTGATTATTTTTCTATTCTATAAAAGAGTCGACACATTGATCGATTTGTCCAAAACCCAAACCAAAGATATTACATTTACATTAAATGAAACAGAAACCCAGCAAATAATCACATTTGAGAAGCAAAAGATTGAAATAAAACATAAATAAATGACTTTAAGGTCCAGTGTGTAACATTTATTCTGTCTATTGTCAGAAATGGAATATAATATTTATAGTTGTTTTCATTCGTGTCCGATCAGCTGAAGATATAAATCGTTGTGCTTTTGTTACCATAACTGTTTATCATTACTACAGGAGAGTGGGTCCCTCCGCGGTGGCCGCCATCTTGAACCACCATGTTTCTACAGTAGCCCAGATGAGACAAACCAAACACTGGCACTAGATAGGAGCCACTGTAGTTTTATCCGACACCTTAGGATGACACAGTGGTATTAAAATTGTTGCAATCTGCAACATTATCCATCAGCATCCTGATTTTGACAACTATTTTAGAACGTATTAAGATTTAGAGCTGATGAAACAAACTATAAGTTATTGGTTTGTCAGTCTAGGTTGGCAGTTATTTTGATAATTAATGGTTTTGTTAATTTTTCAAGCAAAAATATAAAATATTTCCTTCTTCCAGCTTCAGCTTTGTTTTTGGACTGTTGGTTGGACAAAAAAAGGAGTTTGTATCACCACCTTGAGCTTGGGATGCGATTTTACAAGATTGTATTGACACAAATGCAATTATTGATTCTGCTTATTGGTCCCATTCTTCATCAGTTCCCTTCTTGGTTCCTGATCAGTTGTCTGTGGACCTAAACAGGTTTTCAGCATCAACACAGCTGTTTTATTAACTCTGAACACAGGATAGAAAACAGTAGTTGACTGAACAATTTGGAAGAGGTTCTTGATTCCAATCCCTACATTGTAATGTCACTTTTCACCTTTTGATGATATTTAACCAATTCATTGATTAACCTAGCCTTATAATTAGTCAGTGGTTTTACCTAACTGGTACCGCCAGAGTTTGAGCACAAAGTTCCACTTTTGGGTTCAGACAAACAACAAGTGGGACAGTCAGAGAAAATGAAAGCATTAGAGTTCAGCCCTCGCCCTAAGCTACTTAACAAAGGCTCAAACCCCACCCGCAACCTGATACTTTGGATGGGACCTGTTGGGGGTGGAGACCACGAGCTGTAAACACCTGTAAATTCAGAAAGCCTGGATCAGCGTATCTGATGCCTTAAAATACTTGAATGCAGATTTAATTGTAGAAAAACACTGCAGCCCACTCCTCCACTGATGTGTGTAGAGTGTGGACAACACACAAGAGAGCAGAAAGAAATGTGACACTGGAAAGCCAAATCAAAATAATTTATTTTTGGTGACATTTCATACAGTTCTAGGATTGTGTCTCAAACACTTGGTTGATCCATTACTATATTTCCTTTTGCCACCCCAACCCAAATTAACAGAAAATAACCCAAACATATGGAAGGGGGGGAGGGGAGGGGAGCAATTCCTGTAGGTATTTGCAAGCCTGTCAACATCAACCATATGCTTCTAAAATGATTTCACATTACTCATGAGTAAGATTCTTTTTAAAAACAAGTTAGTGCATTTATTTAATTATACTAAACCACTAGCTGCTCATACTCATTAATGAAAAAGAAATAACAGCCCCAGTGATTGGTTACTCGTTTTACTGCATTACTAAGCCCAAAGTCAATGCATCAAGTATTTTTCGCTCAGCTGACATCTCGAACAGTATATAAATGTCATATGCGTGATTTTATTTTGCCAATGCGATTTCACACAACTTTGGGGAAACCAGCCTACCAAGATTGGGAGAAAAGCGTTGTGCATCAGAATTAAAATAAATAAATTTAAAAAGCAATACATACAATGAGTCAAACTTCAAATTCTAAGTCAACCTGTTTTGTTTCTCAAAAATTAAAAAAAAAGAAAAGAAAAAAAAACGAATAAGAAAAAGAAACCAACAAAAACAAACCAGCAAACTCACCCTAAAAGCACAAAAACAATCTGGTGGATACCTGCTGTCAAAAGCCTCCCTCTCTGTAAATTCAGCACTAGAACAAATTACATTCTCCCACACATTTCTAGTGAAGGGTTATTACAATATAGCATAGGCAACTACACCTCTACAGCTTCTTCAAAATCCAGTTTCACTGGGCCAAAAGTTTCCCCAAGACTACATTATTTAGCAGACCTCGTCATTAAAAATCAAAACTTTATCCTAGCACACTATGATCGTAGGCAGCTGGCACATAGCACGTGAAAATGTTCCAATCCTCTTTATACCCACGACATGGCTGCCAAATGTTATGTAGCTATCACCCTTTAGCTAACAGCACTTCTCAGTCTATTTTTTTGACACTATGCCATTTTTTTTAAGAACAATTCACAGATATAAGCTTAACCTGGATATCCTGTGATGATGTAGAAAAGCCAAACTTCACCTAACCATCAGGTGCACTGAACAGTCAATTCTTACCATTAACGGTTAACCTATTATTCTTTTTTTTTCCTCTTCCTCCCTCTCACTTGGAAAACGTCAACCTATTACCCAAACAAACATGTAAACAGAGAACCTGACTGATTATCAACATGACAAATGATCTGAATCCATCAGAGTGGGTTGACCCAAATGGTTCAGATAGATAAGAGATAAAACTTAACATGAAAAACTTTGGACCAGGCTAACAGGTTCACCGTGGCTAACAGGCCAGTGAGGACCCCAAAGTGGATTTCAGCTTTAAACAAAACCACACATCTGACTGCAGCGTACGTTGACAGATTCTGATATCTGACTGATACAATTTAAGCCAATTATGAACCAGGATCAAAATACCACCATAGAACATATTTCATTAATATACATTAGAAGACCACACTGTCCAGTTTCGGGACAATGACTCTGAACCTCTGATGTAAAAATCAAAAATCATCCATTTCATTAGATCAGTGCAACAGCACACTGTAGCACTTCAATCATGTTGCTTAACAATCAATGCATACACAGACGTCAGTCAAACCTTCAGTCATACTTGCAAACCTAAGCACACAAGAAAAGAAAAAAAACTGATGTCTCATTGCGTGTTAGTGATATCTTTGTATATGTACATGACATATATGCATGTTCTTTTCTTCTTAGTGCATATTGTTCTTGCAGACATCTATTCTTTAAATTCAAAAAAAGAAAGGGGGAAGAAAAAAAAGGTAGAGGGCCATTTACGTGGCCCAGCATCCCACCTCTCCCTAGCAGAGCATAAATGAGATGTCCTCCAGATAAATCGCACTTGAAAAATTATTTTAAGCATAATGCTGGAGGCCAGAACAAGATTTTTGTTTCCTTTTCAAATCACTCAAGTTCTTCAGGTGTCATTTTGCTCTTTAGTCCTGGATGTCCCGGTCTTAATGTCATTTTGAAAGCTTTTCTTTGAACAAGTTCCAGGGGGGGGAGGTGGCTACCATAATGTTGTTGCTTTTATGTTATTCATTTTTATATAATTATATATATCCATGTATATATTCATACATCTTTTTTCTATTCATATCAAGTTTTTACTTTGGCGATACTGGTGGGATATTCTGCTCTTTGCCAGTGTGCCTGTAGCCTCCCTGGGGGGAGCTGCGTCGGGCCGGAGGCGGGCGCCTCTGGTCCCGAAACTTGAGGCCCCCAGCACCTCTGGGGCCATTACTGCGGTAGTAGCCTTGAGAGTCACGTTCACGTGGTGGCCGGCTCTCCTTGCACTCCCATCCCCCCTCCCTGTCGTGGCCCTTCTCTTGCTTGTCTCCAGGACCACTGCTGGAACCCGGCTCCTCGGCCTTGTTCACGCGCAACTCGCGTAGCGGCTGGCCTGACGCGGTGCCTGAAGAAGCTGGGGCAGGGGCCGCAGGGGGAGGGTCCTTGGGTGGCCGTTGGCACACCTCAGCGTAGCTGAGCTTACGAGGCTCCTGAACCTAGGGCAGGGAAAATGTACAATTTTAAAAACATTTAACACATTTAACACATACTCTAATTTAAACATTCATTTTCATGATTCACCTTGTCAAACCCTCAGATCTCATAATCTTAACGCTCATTGGGGTAGGAGTGAACGTTCTGGACGTTTGGTGGGAAAGAGCAGAGAGAGATAGAAAGAGAGAAATACTGAAGAAATGTGACAGGTAGAGAGGAGGGAGACAACCAAAGCCAGTCAGTCCACAACCTCACTTCCCTCTATGCGCAAAAGATTTCATCATCGAGAAGACAACTGTGCTCGAGTGTAGGCTGTAATTCTGAAGAAGGAGATTCTTACCTGTGCAGGTGTGGGAACAGTGGCTGTAGCAGGGGCCGGCG